GCTGCGTGATACTGGTAGCTGGAGATGGACCTGTTGGAGACCCCTGTTATAGGGATACAGTGAGGGAGAAGACTGTTATGGGGGTTCTGCTGTAAATCAACCAGTTACAGAGACTGTCTAGCCAAGCACACACCCACACTGCCTGGCCCCATTCACTCTTAGTCTGCCACACACATTCTCCCTCTCTTCTTTCCTATTTCTCACTCCGATCAGCCAGCCAGAGGCTAGAATGCGACTTTGATACTCTTATTTAAAGCAGAAGAGAAGAGGAAAGCGAGGAGAGAGAAGCGCTCTCTCTCCTCTCTCTCTCTCTCTCTCTCTCTCTCTCTCCTCTCTCTCTCTATCTCTCTCTCTCTCTCTCTGCTCTCTCCTCTTCTCTCTCTCTCTCTCTCTCTTCCCCATCACACACAATACATCACACAACATCCAGAAAGCTCTGTCTATATCAATCTCTCCTCATCTCCTCTCCCTCTGTTCTACACACAACCCGTCCTATATTTCTCTCATCTCACTCTATCTGCATTCAACATTCTACAATTTCACTCCCTCTTCAAGACCCCTCTCTTCAAGTCTGAACTGTTCTCATCTCTCTACTCTTCTCTCCCTCTCGCTTACAGGGCCAATAACCAGAATAACCCCTTGCTCAGGGGGATGAAAACGAGAGGAGACAAGAGGAAAAACGGAACGGGGAAACCAGAGAGGAGGAAAAGCCGGAAGACGAAGCCAGAGCTACGACGGCGAAGGGCACCCGCGCGGCGGGAAGGACACCCAGCCGAGGGGCAGGGCCCCCAGCGCGGGCGCGAAGGGCCACACCGCGCCGTGGCAAGTGCACCCACGCGGTGAAGGGCCCACGAGAGGAAGTGCGGGAAAGGACCACGGAGCGCGGCAGGTGCCCCACGTCCCCTCTTTCTATTTCCCTCTCTTCGTCTAATTTCCCCCCTCTCTTCTTCTAATTTCCCCCTCTCTTCTCATGTTCCCCCTCTCTTCTTCTAATTTCCCCCCTCTCTTCTTCTAATTTCCCCCCTCTCTTCTTCTAATTTCCCCCCTCTCTTCTTATTTTCTCTCTCTCGCCTGCCTGTCAAGAGGGCCCCAGTTATAGCGTCGGTGCTCGTCGTCACGCCAACAATTACACCGCTCCGCATGCCTTTTGTGAGGCATTCTTTTAATTGCTGGAAATGTGTAAAACGATTACAACCAATCTAAATCAAGCGTCCCCTCTCATTTCATTCCATTTCGCCCGGATGGATTGGAACGATACACTAGGTGGTTTAGCCTTCCCCTGGCCAATCTGAAATGGAGACAGGCTAAATGCTGGATGTTTTGCTGTGTGTGTGTGTGTGTGATTACCCATCAGCATGGGTCCCCCTGCCTGGCGTCTCAGTTGGAGGGCTGCCTGTCTGTCGTGGCCATAAGTGGGGCTGTGATGAACAGCTTATGAAACTGTAATGACGTCTAAACTGCAGGCACGCTATAAATGTACCTAAAACAGCCATTGAGGCTGTCAGACAATAGTTGCAGGCAGTCACTGGTGTTGCATGTGTGTGTGTGTGTGTGTGCGAGGAGAGAGAGGAGAGATGAGAGAGAGAGAGAGAGAGAGGAGAGAGAGAGAGAGAGAGAGAGAGAGAGAGAGAGAGAGAGAGAGAGAGAGAGAGAGAGAGGTTAAGCCACTCAATTCCCTCAAATTAAATATTCTGTGATGACTGTTCGGAAACTTTGTCCTGTGGCTATATCTCATTGACGGGGCCGCAGTGGAAAGGGTCAAAAGCTTCAAGTTCCTTGGAGTGCACATCACTGACGACCTGAAATGGTCCCTTCACACAGACAGTGTGGTCAAGAAGGCGCAACAGCGCCTCTTCAACCTCAGGAGGCTGAAGAAATGTGGCTTGGCCCCTAAGACCCTCACAAACTTCTACAGATGCACTATTGAGTGTATCCTGTCAGGGAGTATCACAGCCTGGTACGGCAATTGAACCGTCCACAAAGGCAGGGCTCTCCAGAGGGTGGTGCGGTCAGCCCAACGCATCATCGGGGGCACACTGCCTGCCCTCCAGGATATCTACACCACCCGTTGTCACAGGAAGGCCAAGAAGATCATCAAGGACCTCAGCCAACCAAGCCATGGCCTGTTCACCCCGTTACCATCTGGAAGGAGGAGACAGTACAGGTGCATTAAAGCTGGGACCGAGAGACTGATAAACAGCTTCTATCTCCAGGCCATCCGACTATTAAATAGCCATCACTAGCCGGCCTCCGCCCAGTACCCTGCCCTGAAACGTAGTCACTGTTACTAGCTGGCTACTCTACCCTGCACTTTAAGAGACTGCTTTGTCCTATGTACAGAGTAATTGAACACTGGTCACGTTTAAGGTCCTGAACAGTGAAAATCATGTTTTTCATCAAATAGGATGAAATTTGGATGAAACCAGTTCATAGTAGGTTGACCCAAGTATGAAAAATGACTGTAGCTGGTGGTACATTGACAGAAACGTTTATCATAAAGTTACTGGAGGCAGGCATTACTTCCGGCTTTATGCAACGTCATGTAAAGCCGGAAATCTTATACACCAATGGTAGCGTCTTATAATCGTAACTAATTTAAATATGTAACGCCTTAAAACCGTCATCATATTTTTTTTTACAAACCGTAAGATAGCTTAAGCAGAACGATACTGGCAACCAACCCATTTTCATCTGTGTTGTGACTTTTAGCTAGCAAGCTACCCACCAGCATGCCGGAAAAGCACACTGTGTTGTGACTGGATGCCATAGTGTTCATTTGAAGTTACACTATCTTCAGAAGAATGAAGACGTCGGACAGCAGGGGCTGCTTTTCATTTCGGGTGGACAGGCTGAACGGAATATTCTGATCATGTCACACGTGCGCAGTGCACATTTAGAGCGCAGTTGCTTTATCATTCGGAGAGAACATTCCATGGGTCTTGCCAGGAAGCTAATCCTAAAGATGGATGCTGTACCATCATTGACAGTGGATCAGTGGATCTTGCAAGCACTGTAAGTATCAGAGTTTGATGAGTCTGACACGGTGGCTGTAACTGTTTTTGACTTGTGAACGGTATATTTTCTGTAACACACCCGATAGTCACTATATGGTTTTGGTTCTTCCATCCTTAAGCCCCCTATGTTGAGTCTGAGAACTGCCAGCACACAGCTGACATGAAGCAATGTTGTCCACAGATGGAGTTGTGGTGTGTATTGTATTTGTAATTTACTCCTGAAAATCATATTCTGCCATTCCATTGTATGGGTTGTTGTCTTACAGTTGATGCAGCTTGTGTCATTGGGGCTAATCATGATGATGCGGTTGGGCGGGGTGGTAATTATTTCACTTTCCATCTCCTTTTGCCTTTCCACTATCATCAAGTTGTAATGACAGACATTTTAGAAAATTCTTGTCTGCGCAGCTTTTCAGGCAACCACCGCAGCAGGAATGCTGTGATAGAAAATCAGCTTTCCCATGCCAAAGAAAGGGGGATATGCTGTAAAGCCTATGAAGACAGACCCAAGTCATAGTTATTCATTTCAAATCAATTGAGCATTTCAGGCACACAAAAACTATAAGTACAAACATTGAAAAGTTTCCCAAGAAAGTGCACGACCTAATATTGCATATTTCAAATTGAGTACTTCAAAAACACCAGAAAACACATTGTACAATAAATAGATCACTACATCAACGCATTGATAGCGTCATATTTCAGAAAAGGAAATAAAAGGAAATACAATTAATTTAACAAACATTTCCCTTTTCAAAAACATTACAGGCTACGTAGACCGGCTCCTGGATTCTACATCAAGCAGAACTTAGTGTTTGAATTATTAAAGTTTCCTCTCACCACCTCTACAAGCCAGAATGTTTGGTGAAGCAAAGCCTGAAGCATGTGTACAAGATAAAAAGAGGCACGCATACATGCCGAGCTCGTGCACGGTAACATGGTTCTGCGCATGCTTCAGGTGATAGAAATCTGAACGCACTACCAGCACTTTGAAAAGTTGATATACTTTCCTGCGGATATATTGTCTCACATTCAAAAGGACCAACCGCACGGACAACCGGTAAAGTACGTTAAAATATAATTTTATTCAACATTCTGACTTGTAGAGGTCGTGAGAAGAAACTTTCCTGATTCAAACGGTCATTTCTGCCCGACGTAGAATTCTATGCAATTGAACGTCGGGTTTCCAGGCAAAAGACTGATTAGATGGATGACTAAGGAAATTTACATTTGTGACTGAGTGATAGAAACTATTAAAAGATCTCCATTGATATTCATGACTGTAGTTTTTGTGAGGTGATAATCATAATGCAAATTAGCTAGGTCACTAATCACCTTGATATGACTGTGGAAAATACTCTTGTTTGTATATTTCTGTTTTTGTATTTGTTTTGTTCATAATAATAAAATAATAATAATAATAATAATAATAATAATAAAATAAAAACAGTGGAAAGGGTTTGAGAATACTTTTTAGCTGAAAATAAGTTAGTACAACAGCGCCATCTTGTGGAATGAAATGAGCACTGCATCCCTGCTCCTCAAATTCAACATCTGCCAGACAAGTATAGACAACCGCACAACTGTAGCTCTAGAGCCGTTCCGTCGCGACAGGCAACCATAGAGAGGCAACTCGATGTTGTCTTCGCGTGATGGACCAGAGCTAGTACTACTGTACATGGGTTCTGTTCTTACTAACCCACCTTTGATGTTTTATATCCAAACAGCATGACCACCGCCATCTGTAGGTCTTCTCTGCTCGGGTAGACTTTCTTGTCGGTGTCACACAGCTCGTAAACCTTTGGAGGAAATACATTGCAATGTAACACAAAGTTGACATTGTCGGAACGAGAGATAGATGGGGTGTAACGTTTATCTAGTTAGCTAGCTACTAAACTAGCTAACGTTAGTTCTTACCTTTTATAACGTATTCTTGTCAGTGTCGGTGATTTCTCTCTGTTTTCTGCCCAAGTGTGTAGAGAATTCATGACCATATTGGAAAACTGCACAGACGAGGAGGAAGTTTGACAAGTTTCCGTGGAGACTGTATGGAGTTTCACAGTTGGTGGATACCTGTTTGTTTTTCGCGGGGGGTTACAGTATCGTCAAAAATGATTGGACAAAAATCAACCCCATAGGATCTAAGGTTGGGTTTGTCCTTGTTCCACTGGGGAAAACTCAGACAGTGTTATTTACCAGGAGGAAGGTTGGAGATGAGGTATGCTTGAGGTTATATGGGAGATACTTGGAGAGGGTGGGGGCCTTCAGGTTGCTTGGGGTATACTTTGACATTCAGGTTCCTTGGGGTATACTTTGATACTAGACTGACCTGGGCAGAACACATTGGGAGAGTGGTGGGAAAGTGTAAGAAGGTGCTAAATGTGATGCACTGTCTGACTGGGAAGGAGTGGTGGGGCTGGGCGTTCCTCATTGAGGACTATCTATGTTGTATTGATCCGATCTGTAATTGACTATGGCAGTATAGCGTATGGTTCGGCAGCACGGACCTCATTGGAAAGGCTAGATGTCATACAGGGGCAAGGACTCAGAATATGTAGTGGTGCGTTTCGGACGTCCCCAGTGGCAACATTACAGGTGGAGATGGGGGGGATATGCCATTGCAGATTAGGAGACTGCAGCTGGCAACGAATTATTGGGTCAACCTACAAGGACATGGGGTGTCTCATCCTGCGAAAGGGATTTTACAGGCATTCTGGGACCATGAGCGAAGACAGAACACGAGCTTTGGGTGGGTGGGTAATACCCAGGCGAAGGAGATGGGACTGGATGGAAGGGAGTTTAGTCCAACGGTAGCTATTCCTGTAAATCCACCATGGTTACTCCCGCCTCCAGTAGTTGATCTAGAAGTGTTGGAGAGACTACAGAAAGATAGGGAGGGTGTTGATCCATCTTCTGAGTTGTTTAAGGACATCTGATACTGTTTTATCAGGATTTTGTGGCCATTTACACAGAAGGTTAAAAAGATCCAAGGACAGGACGTACTGGGTCAGCATTTGTAGTGCAGGAATGTGGGGTGGAAGTCAGGAAACGTATTACAGATCATCTGGCTTGTATATACGGCGGAGCTGATGGCCTACTGTTGGCCTTGGCAGTGGGGCGTATCTGAATGGCCCATACTGTGGCCGTGCAGTGGCGAGGCTGATGGCCATACTGTTGGCCTTGCAGTGGGTGGAGCTGATGGCCATACTGTTGGCCTTGTCAGTGGGGTGGAGCTGATGGGCCATACTGTTGGCCTTGCAGTTGGGTGGAGCTGATGCCTACCTGTTGGGCCTTGCAGGGTGAGGAAGTTGCCAGCCAGAAGTAGTTTATTGCTCTGATTCATGTGCAGTGTTAATGAGTCTCCAGTCCTTTAGCTCACGTAGCAGAAAATACCTGCTTTATGAGGTGCTACAAACCCATGGCAGGATTAGACAGATGATAAGATTGACTTGGGTCCCAGCCCATGTGGGGGTGGAGGGGAACGAGGCAGTTGATGTACTTACGTAGTGGGGATGGTGATGGCGCAGAGATTGCAGGAACAGTGGAATAGAAATGCTAAGGGGAGGCATTTATTTCAAGTACAGAGGAAAGTCGGGGAGAGGAGGACGGCAGGAAGGGACAGAAGAGAGGAGGCTATTTTTACAAGATTAAGGGTGGGACACAGCCGGTTGAATAAGACCTTTAAATGTGATAGGAAAACATCCAACAGGAAAGTGTGATTATTGCCAGGAAACAGAGACTGTGCAGAATGTATTGCTACTGTGTGGGCAGTATCAGAGGGAAAGAGAGAGGATGAGATCTACTATGAGGGAGAAGGGGATACAGGACATTAGTTTAAAGAGTATATTGAGTAGAACGTCATTAGATATAGTCTCAAATATTTTGTTATCTTTTTTTAAGAGCAACGGGGCTGGCAGGTAGGATTTAGTTTCTCCCTGTCTCTGGCCCACACTCCAGTAAGGTAGGTGGTGGTAATGCACCATAACGTTGGATACCAACCGCCGATAAACCCCACCGAAGAAGAAGAAGAAGAAGAAGAAGAAGAAGAAGAAGAAGTTCCACTGGGGAAGGAAACTTCAGTATCCCGTTTAGGAAAACATGAGCAAGAGCAGCAGGTCAAAAAACTAAACAACACCTATCATGTAATTATCTAAATAGCTAACAGACTGATTTGTGATTTATGCAATAAGCCAGTAGTGTCGGGACTATTCCAGTTAGCTGAAAGATGTATGCTTTGTGTAGCAATATCTTTGAGAAAATTCGCTAGCCTCTAAAACACTTCACCTACACAGTGAGTATTTCCTGCCACCACAATATATTGAATTGTTTTCACATTCTTTTGGCCAGCTACCTAACTAATGAGCTAAATCATAACATGCATGTACTTTGTATCTATACTGAACAGAACAAATATATAAACGCAACTAGCAACAATTTCAAAGATTTTATGGAGTTACAGTTCATATAAGGAAATCAGTCAATTGAAATAAATAAATTAGGCACTAATCTATGGATTTCACATGACTGGGCAGGGGTGCAGCCTTGGGTGGGCCTTGGAGGGCATAGGCCCACCCACTTGGGAGCCAGGCCCTGCCAATCAGAAAAAAATTTTTTTCCCCACAAAAGGGCTTTCTTACAGACAGAAATAATCCTCAGCACCTGCCCGCTTCCCCTCAGATGATCCCGCAGGTGAATAAGCCGGATGTGGAGGTCCTGGGCTGGCGTTGTTACTAGTGGTATGCGGTTGTGAGGCTGGTTAGACGTACTGCCAAATTCTCTAAAAGGATATAGCAGGCAGCTTATGGTAGAGAAATGAACATTCAATTATCTGGCAACAGCCCTGGTGGACATTCCTGCGGTCAGCATGCCAATTACACGTTCCCTCAAAACTTGAGACATCTGTGGCATTGTGTTGTGTGACAAAACTGCACATTTTAAAGTGGCCTTTTATTGTCAACCAGCACAAGGTGCACCTGTGTAATGATCATGCTGTTTTATCAGCTTCTTGATATGCCACACCTGTCAGGTGGATGGTTTATATTGGCAAAGGCAAATGCTCACTAAGATGGATGTAAACAAATTTGTGCACAAAATTTGAGAGAAATACACTTTTGCATAGTGCCAACTGTAAAGTTTGGCGGAGGAGGAATAATCGTCTGGGGCTGTTTTTTATGGTTCGGGCTAGGCCTTTAGTTCCAGTGAAGGGAAATCTTAACGCTACAGCATACAATGACATTCTAAACAATTCTGTGCTTCCAACTTTGTGGCAACAGTTTGGGGAAGGTGCTATGTGGATCTCTTGTGTAAGAGCCCCGACGCTCGGTCTGAACATTAACGTGCGTCGCTTGCAGTACGATTTTGGAAGCATAAGGACCTTATCCTTCATATTAGTGAGAAATCATTTTCAAAAAACACAAGGTTAAATTGATACACACCTTTATAGGGTTTGGGTTTCCACATGGCCATATTTCCATGTTACAGCGCTTGTTTACGGAAAACATTTTACATTTACGTCATTTAACAGACGCTCTTATCCAGAGCGACTTACAGTTAGTGAGTGCATAATTATTTATTTTTTTATACTGGTCCCCCCGTGGGAGTCGAACCCACAACCCTGGCATTGCAAACGCCAACTGAGCTCCACGGGACAGACGGAAGACCTGTGCTAATTAGCTATCTGCGTATCCGAACACCTGTGTGTAAAGGGAAGACAGACGCCACAAACGTGTTGTCACTGAAAGATACTGTCGACTGCCGCTGTGTTAAAACCGTGTACAGTAAGTGTGTATTTTGCATTTGTGAAATTATTTTGATGTGATATGAAAGTAGAGGGATTTATGTTTCTATAACCGTATTGCAGTTGAGAATCGATTCACGTTTAGATGGGAGTGTTTGGCTGATTAGGCTTCCAGAACCAATTCGACCTTTAAACAGAACATGTAAGGACCTACACTAAACCAAAATATAAACGCAACATGTGAAGTGTTGGTCCCATGTTTCATGAGCTGAAGTTAAAAATCCCTGAAATGTTCCATATCCACAAAAAGCTTATTTCTCTCAAATGTTAACTGCAGGAATGTCTACCAGAGCTGTTGCCAGATAATTTAATGTTCATTTCTCTACCATAATGCTACCTCCAACATCGTTTTAGAGAATTTGGCAGTACGTCCAATCGGCCTCACAACCGCAGACCACATGTACGGCGTTGTGTGGGCGAGGAGTCTGCTGATGTCAACGTTGTGAACAGAGTGCCCCATGGTGGGGTTATGGTTTGGGCAGGCATAAGCTACGGACAACGAACACAAAAATACCGTGACGAGATCCTGAGGCCCATTGTGAGGCCCATATTCCTAATGTTTGGTATACTCAGTGTCATTTGTTGCTCGGTTGACTCAAGGAGCTGTAAGATACTTTACCTATTTTAATGGTCATCTTTCCTTTCTTTTGTAGTTCAACTACTGCTTTGCCATTGCCTGGATGGTGCAGCAGGACCCACCTGAGTTCAGGTAATGCCCTACTGGTCGTTAATCTACACATAGTTTATACTGAAAAAAGCTTTTGATAAGGTGTGTAACATGCTTCTACAATGACTGATGATTGATGATATAAAGGCTATTGGTGGTGATGATTGGCTCCGACGCTCGTCGCATGTGCCAGGGCTTGCAGACGATAACGGATTACAAAGGGAAAACCAGCCATGACTTGCCCAGCAACGCAGAACTCACAAATGAGCTAAATGCCTTTTATGTCCACTTCGAGGAATATAACACTGTGCCTTGCGTGAAAGCCCATATTTTTTTAGTTTAAACAGGTTAACAATCACTAGGCTGCCGGGCCAGACGGAATACCAGGGCACGTTCTCAAAGCATGCGCAGACCAGCTGGCGAGTGTCTTCAGACATTTTCAATCTCTCATTGTCCCAGCCTGTAATCCCAACATGTTTCAAGCTGACCACTATTGTCCCTGTTCCTAAGAGCTCCAAGGTAACCTGCCTAAATGACTATCGATCTGTAGCACTCACATCTGTAATTATGAAGTGCTTTGAAAGGCTGGTCATGACACACCATCATCCCAGACACCCTAGATCAACTCCAATTCACATAGAGGGGCTGGATTGTGGAGCAGGTCGAGAACTTCAAGTTCCTTGGCGTCCACATCACTAAGGACTTAACATGGTCCACACATACCCACACAGTCGTGAAGAGGGCACGGCAGCGCCTCTTCCCCCCCCCCCCCCCCAGGAGTCTGAAAAGATTTAGCATGGGCCCTCGGATCCTCCGAAAGTTTTACAGCTACAACATCGAGAGCATCTTGACTGGCTGCATCACCGCTTGGTACGGCAAATGCACCGTCCTTGACTGCAAAGCGCTACAGAGGGTGGTGCGGACAGCCCAGTACATCACTGGGGCTGAGCTCCCTGCCATCCAGGACCACTATATCTGCGGTGTCAGAGGAGGGCCACCCAAGCCATAGACTATTCACTCTCCTACCATCCGGCAAACGGTACCGGAGCATCGGCTCTTGGACCAACAGGCTCCGAGACAGCTTCTACCCCCAAGCCATAAGATTGCTAAATAGCCAGATTGCTAAATAGTCAATAAATGATACCCAAACTATCTGCACTGACTCTTATCTTGCACAGACCCTACGCACACTCACTAGACTATACACCGGGGGTGTTTCTCAATATGCATACTACTGTGCTCCACACTCTCATGCTCCGAGTGCATTCTACGAGGATGTTCTCTTGAGTACGTTCTTGTGAGGACGAGAGTGTGGAGAACGCATAAAACATTACATTTGAGAAGCACTCCCCCCTACTGTATTACCTCACGCTGCACCTCCCCATTCACTGAACCTTCTTCCTGCCAGGACAATGGCAACAATAGAGAAGAAACAAGCTATACACAATGCAAATGTTTTACTTCATAACTATCAGCTAGCTATATGTGAATCGTAATAATCTAGCTAACCAGATAGTTTAACAGGCAAAAATGACCTAAAACTAATGTTATGCAAGGTAGATTCTTCGTGGGTAGCTAGCTGCCAATTCTTTGTGGCAGTAGTAGCTAGCCGGACAACGTTAGCCCTATTGACTTACTATGGGCTTGCGATCTACGCGCACTACAGTGGGTATTGTAGACAGGTAAAAATGCTAAAATTATTAATGTAAAATTTATTACGATTTACAATTTAGCAGTGGTGGTGCGCCACTGTAAAATGCATATACAAAATGCACTACTACTACTACTACTACTACAGCCATGTCTGCTTCTGCCAGTTAGCAGCCAAACACATCTCTGCTGCTGCTACTACTACTACTAATACTACTACTACTACTACTACTACTACTAATACTACTACAGCCATGTCTGCTTCTGCCAGTTAGCAGCCAAACACATCTCTGCTGCTGCTACTACTACTACTACTACTACTACTACTACTACTACTACTACTACTACTAATACTACTACTAATACTACTACAGCCATGTCTGCTTCTGCCAGTTAGCAGCCAAACACATCTCTGCTGCTGCTACTACTACTACTAATACTACTACTACTACTACTAATACTACTACTAATACTACTACAGCCATGTCTGCTTCTGCCAGTTAGCAGCAAAACACATCTCTGCTGCTACTACTACTACTACTACTACTACTACTACTACTAGTACTCCTGAGTGGCGCAGTGGTCTAAGGCACTGCATCGCAGTGCTAACTGTGCCACTAGAGATCCTGGTTCGAATCCAGGCTCTGTCGCAGCCGGCCGCGACCGGGAGACTCATGGGCGGCGCACAATTGGCCCAGCGTCGTCCAGGGTAGGGGAGGGAATGGCCGGCATGGATGTAGCTCAGTTGATAAAGCATGGCGTTTGCAACGCCAGGGTTGTGGGTTCGATTCCCACGGGGGTCCAGTATAAAAAATATATATATATATATATATGTGTTCACTAACTGTAAGTCGCTCTGGATAAGAGCGTCTGCTAAATGACGTAAATGTAAAATGTACTACTACTACTACTACTACTACTACTACTAATACTACTACAGCCATGTCTGCTTCTGCCAGTTAGCAGCCAAACACATCTCTGCTGCTGCTACTACTACTACTAATACTACTACTACTACTACTACTACTACTACTAATACTAATACTACTACAGCCATGTCTGCTTCTGCCAGTTAGCAGCCAAACACATCTCTGCCAAGTGAGACACTGTTTTCTCTCTTACCTTCCTCTCTTTTTCTCCTTTGCAACTGCTCTTCTTTTGACTTGCCCTTCTTCCATCTTCCCCTCTTCTCTCAACTTCCCCTCCTCATCCACCTTCCCCTCTTCTCTCAACTTCCCCTCCTCTTCCCTCCTCCTCATCCACCTTCCCCTCTTCTCTCAACTTCCCCTCCTCTTCCCTCCTCCTCATCCACCTTCCCCTCTTCTCTCAACTTCCCCTCCTCTTCCCTCCTCCTCGTCCACCTTCCCCTCTTCTCTCAACTTCCCCTCTTCTTTCACTCTCTTCTTACCGTTATTTACCATATAAATACTAATGTTGTAATTTACACCATAGTCCACCAGAGGGAGGGGTTGATTTTCAAAAAAATATGTATTGACTCACAATGTAAACCCAAACAAATCTACTCTCTCTGTCTCTGTCTCTGTCTCTCGTTCTCTCTTCTCCTGGCTCCATTCTCTTATGCTTTTATTCCTGACCTCTTTTGTTATACATATTATTTAAGCACTCACATTCTTCTGTAAAAGCTTTTGAAGTTGTAGCTACTAGCTGGCTAAGTCATTTACCTAATCACCAAAAAGCAGTGTGTGTGATATATACATACATACATACATACATACATACATACATACATACATACATACATACATACATACATACATACAGTGAGGGGGGAAAAAAGTATTTGATCCCCTGCTGATTTTGTACGATTGCCCACTGACAAAGACATGATCAGTCTATAATTTTAATGGTAGGTTTATTTGAACAGTGAGAGACAGAATAATAACAAATAATTCCAGAAAAACGCATTTCAAAAATGTTATACATTGATTTGCATTTTAATGAGGGAAATAAGTATTTGACCCCCTCTCAATCAGAAAGATTTCTGGCTCCCAAGTGTATTTTATACAGGTAACGAGCTGAGATTAGGAGCACACTCTTAAAGGGAATGCTGCTAATCTCAGTTTGTTACCTGTATAAAAGACACCTGTCCACAGAAGCAATCAATCAATCAGATTCCAAACTCTCCACCATGGCCAAGACCAAAGAGCTCTCCAAGGATGTAAGGGACAAGATTGTAGACCTACACAAGGCTGGAATGGGCTACAAGACCATCGCCAAGCAGCTTGGTGAGAAGGTGACAACAGTTGGTGCGATTATTCGCAAATGGAAGAAACACAAAATAACTGTCAATCTCCCTCGGCCTGGGGCTCCATACAAGATCTCACCTCGTGGAGTTGCAATGATCATGAGAACGGTGAGGAATCAGCCCAGAACTACACGGGAGGATCTTGTCAATGATCTCAAGGCAGCTGGGACCATAGTCACCAAGAAAACAATTGGTAACACACTACGCCGTGAAGGACTGAAATCCTGCAGCGCCCGCAAGGTCCCCCTGCTCAAGAAAGCACATATACAGGCCCGTCTGAAGTTTGCCAATGAACATCTGAATGATTCAGAGGAGAACTGGGTGAAAGTGTTCTGGTCAGATGAGACCAATCGAGTTCTTTGGCATCAACTCAACTCGCCGTGTTTGGAGGAGGAGGAATGCTGCCTATGACACCAAGAACACCATCCCCACCGTCAAACATGGAGGTGGAAACATTATGCTTTGGGTGTGTTTTTCTGCTAAGGGGACAGGACAACTTCACCGCATAAAAGGGACGATGGACGGGGCCATGTACCGTCAAATCTTGGTTGAGAACCTCCTTCCCTCAGCCAGAGCATTGAAAATGGGTCGTGGATGGGTATTCCAGCATGACAATGACCCAAAACACACGGCCAAGGCAACAAAGGAGTGGCTCAAGAAGAAGCACATTAAGGTCCTGGAGTGGTTTAGCCAGTCTCCAGACCTTAATCCCATAGAACATCTGTGGAGGGAGCTGAAGGCTCGAGTTGCCAAACGTCAGCCTCGAAACCTTAATGAGGGACAAAATCCCTCCTGAGATGTGTGCAAACCTGGTGGCCAACTACAAGAAATGTCTGACCTCTGTGATTGCCAACAAGGGTTTTGCCACCAAGTACTAAGTCATGTTTTGCAGAGGGGTCAAATACTTATTTCCCCTCATTAATAATAATAGCTATAGCCCATTTAGCAGACGCTTTTATCCAAAGCGACTTACAGTCATGCGTGCATAATTTTTTTTGTGTATGGGTCGTCCCGGGGATCGAACCCACTACCTTGGCGTTACAAGCGCCGTGCTCTACCAGCTGAGCTACATTAAGATGCAAATCAATTTATAACATTTTTGACATGCGTTTTTCTGGATTTTTTTTGTTGTTATTCTGTCTCTCACTGTTCAAATAAACCTACCATTAAAATTATAGACTGATCATGTCTTTGTCAGTGGGCAAACGTACAAAATCAGCAGGGGATCAAATACTTTTTTCCCTCGCTGTATATATACACACACTCTACCGGTCAAAATATTTATAACACCTACTCATTCAAGGGTTTTTCTTTCTTTTTACTATATTTCTACATTGAAGAATATTAGTGAAGACATCAAAACTATGAAATAACACATATGGAATCATGTAGGAACCAAAAAAGTGTTAAACAGATTCTTCAAATAGCCACCCTTTGCCTTGATGACCGCTTTTGGGGTGTGATGTAGCCTAATATGGAGGACCCGGCAAGCCAGACTATTCTCTATCATGTATATTCCAACATAAATAACTTCAAATATGTAACTTCAAATTAAACCAAATCATTTGCACTCATGATTACTGGTTTCAATCAAATGTTCAGCCAACTTACAAGCAAATAATGTATAAATCTTTGTTACAAATCAACTTGCAAGGTTGCTAGCCAACTAGCCTGCTAACATTAGCCCTACTAGCTTGCTAACATTATGTTAGCACTGCATGAGTCAGCCAGTTGCTATCAACACCTAGAAATGCATAACACCATCTAACCAGTTATCAAAGAATATTAGCTATATGCCGTTATCTTAGCCAGCGAGCTAGCCAGCCAGCTAACGTCAGCTATTTAGCCAACTAGCTATAGCCCAGCCAGTCTAGCCAACCACCATGGTTATGGTCGGCAAGTTAGAGCTAAACTGGAGACCAACTAAAACACAACTAACAAAACTAAAACACAACCGCAGCTCAAAAGCAAAGAGATAGCTGAGACTTACAGATTGATGGCTAGGGCCCATCCGATGGAAAAACTTTGTGCAGGCTGAGTTAGCTAGCTACCAAAGCGGGGGGAGGCGGGCGCTTCACCGGGCGGAGAGAGAGTCAGTGAGGGAAATCCAATAGCTATATAGCGAGAAAAATCCTAAATGAATATATTCCAGATGTCAGTCAGCTAGCGTGCTAGCGCTAAGCCAATTTGGGAAAAACTACACAATTAGAGAAGGCAGGTATGATTTTCTCTTTCGTTTTTAGCCCACGGCAAGAAGGCACCAGAGCCTGCCATGCTAACGGGTTCCCACTAGATAACACAGCCACAAGAGCATGAGGATGAGGATGCTAACATTAGCAAGCGTGAGCTAGCTACCGAGCTAGCATTCGAACTCGGTAGCACAGAGTAGATTCTCCATATGACGTTGAGAAATAGTGCGTTGTGGGTAGTTAAGAAGATGTTAAGAAATATGTAATAACCCAAAACATAACTATGTTTGTAGTTATAGGTAATCAGACCGTGACTACAACTAAGTTACGAAGTCTTTGACCACACTGTGTTGTTACTTTGGTGAATCATGCTTCCTACCCTTTTTAAAGTATAATTTTTTAAAAGTTCTAATGTTACTTTGTTCAACACAACAAAAAAATACTTAAATAAATGTAATTTTGTCCTTGAAACATTTAATTGAAATACTGTAGAATTCCATTCATTCCTATGGAGGACTGCTCCTGCTGGGGAGTGCCATTATGGCCGACCAGTGGCTTCAAAGCCTCTCATTGGCCAATACATGGCATCAGCAATCCAGGGTTTATATACATCATTGGAACTAAGAAAGTTGGGTGTCTCTTTTTTGTATTGAAAATGCTAAACAATTGATGCTTTAGCTAAGCCTACCTTTAACGCACATGAATGTTACCAGAGCTAGGCTTAGCGTAAAGGACGTCAAGTTGAAGGTAGCGTGCAATGGTCACCTGTCAAACCGCCACCCAACATCCAGGTGAGCCTGTATCAGTGTTCTGTTTTAACTCCAGTCTCACCCACAGTCATTACTCTAATTATCAAAAGGAAAACACAGTGGGAAACAACTTCCACAAAATTATTTTCCAATCGTTTCATTCTAAACAGAACCACAATTATTTTCGTTCCGTTCCACTATTCCAACCAGCATAATAAAATTCTGAACCGATTTTTTTTAAAGAAAAAGAAAAAAGAAAAAAAAAGTAACCGGTTTATATAATTCCTTTTTTGTTCCTTTTTTAACCTGTGAAATCGACATACTTTTTACATTTACCTAATTAAATTACCCCACCAATCAGTGCGGATAGAGCAGCTTGCTATGGACTGGGCAAGGTAATTGTTTGAACATGCTTGATGGACAGACAAGTGTAGGGCGCGAAATGCGACTAAAACTTTGCGGGCGGGGATAGAGCGAGAGAGATGTGTTTAGGATATTAGTAGTAGGCCTATCATTACTTCACTGAATTACATCATTATATACTAGCTAGATACCAATGGAGGAGCGTTTAATATGGAGGGACTTTGAATGTCTGAAAATTTTGGCTCAATGACCTGGACCAGAGATGGCTAACAAGCTTCCGTGTGCAGCGGCACCAGAATTCAAAACACTCTTACCTTTGTTGTTAATGAATCCAATGTGAAATGTAATAACATAATATCCTTAACTAGCCTAGAAAAAGCTGTCAGGCAGACACTGGAAAGAGTATCTGCCTGACAGAGAGCACTTTGATGGCGTTTTTTTTGTGGGACTGAAAACACTACAGATCACTTTCGTTCCCGGTTTGGTTTATTTTCCGGGTTCCGGTTCTGTTCCCTGAACCGGTTCATGACCCCTGGTATACCATGTATGACTGTCATCTCATCTGTCTGAGTAACACTACTGATCTTAAGTCTTCATCTTAACCATTCACTTTTATCCTAAGTGTTAAACAGGAGCGCAAGCCTCTGTTGCCATAGCTGCATGATGCATATTTATACGTTTGATTTCTCTGGCTTCCTTAAGGACTATTACTGTGTATGTTGTTGTGGTTCAGTTGTTGTATGTTGCCCGTGCGTGCGAATTGTGTCCTCAGTTGACATGTGTCCTCCATCTTGTACTAACAGGAAGATGATGTTTCTGTGGTTTGAGGAAGGCTTCAGAGTGGTCATCCTCACTTCCAACATGATCAGGGCAGACTGGTACCAGAAAACACAGAGGTGAGTGAGTCTCTTACCGTGGCCATTTTGAAGGCTACCATTTCTATAGTGTGGTTAAACTATACTGCATGCTACGCTAGGTTACAGTCTACACTCCCAGTTGAAATGAGTTGAACTTCAATTTCATCATTTTGTTTTTGATTAATTATTAAGTTATTGATTTCCTGTTTTTGCTCCAGTTCTTGCATTGCTTGAGAGCCAGATGTCTTTGAAGTAGTTAGTTTGAGCTTTAAGAAAACAACATTAGTCTCATATCTGGGATGAATATCCTAGCTGTCGTCGTGTATTCATACCAACCTTAATAACACATTTGATCTTGGTTACCATGACAACTCGCTCAGCAAGCTGAAATGAGGCCCAATAGTAACTGGGGCACGAGTTTTTTTCTGACAAACCAATCCCCCAATCCTTTCATAAAACCTGTACTGATTATTTTACAGAAACACATATTAAGTGTCTCTGCCAGTTAATCGCTCTCTGATGTTCATGTACTCCCTTACACTAATAGGAGAGATGAAATCATCCCCTCTTTCAGATTCTTTCATTCAGGTGATCCCTCTATTTATGAGGTCATTTCCTGTCTACTCCGCCTCTCCCTGACCCTTGACCCCAGTTCCATTAGCGAGGCTCTAACAGAGAGAGCAGCCTTTAAAGAACAACAGTTTGGCCTACCTCCTCCATCTATGTCGTCTCTCACTTAAATACTCCTCTCTCCTCTCCGTTTCTCACTCTCTACCTGTCAATCAAAAAAATACCCTCAAGTAAAAGGTGACATTCTGTACTGTAGCCTCCATATATTTATTTTGATATCTCAAATCCAAAATGCTGGAGTATAGAGCCCAAAAAATATATAAATATCTTCACTGTCCGAATACGCTCCCCTCCATATGTAAATGTATATCTCCCCTCCATATGTATACCTCTCTCCTCCATATGTATACCTCTCTCCTCCATATGTATACCTCTCTCCTCCATATGTATATCTCTCCCCTCCATATGTATATCTCTCTCCTCCATATGTATATCTCTTCCCTCCATATGTATACCTCTCTCCTCCATATGTATATCTCTCTCCTCCATATGTATACCTCTCTCCTCCATATGTATATCTCTCCCCTCCATATGTATATCTCTCTCCTCCATATGTATATCTCTTCCCTCCATATGTATACCTCTCTCCTCCATATGTATACCTCTCTCCTCCATATGTATACCTCTCTCCTCCATATGTATATCTCTTCCCTCCATATGTATACCTCTCTCCTCCATATGTATATCTCTTCCCTCCATATGTATACCTCTCTCCTCCATATGTATATCTCTCCCCTCCATATGTATATCTCTCCCCTCCATATGTATATCTCTCTCCTCTTTCTTCCTTTTCAACCTCTCTCACTCCCCCTCTCTCTGTCTGATCGTCATGCTGAGGTGGTAGTAGTGGATGTCTGGTCTGGGCCTGCCCTCTCCTTAGAGGCGGATCCTAGTGCCTGGCCTCCATATTCATGAGCTCTGGCCCCGTTCTGCCCTGCCATTGGAGTTACATCACACACACACATCTGCTATGTCTGTCACCCCAGAATTGCTTTCAGCCTCTGTCAAGCTGTGGATGACAAATGGCTGAAGTGATATGCAGGGTGTGTTGACGTTGTGAGGCTTTCTCTCAGTTTTTCATTTAGTGAAATGAAAGAAAACTTTATTGATCCCCTAAGGGGAACTTGGTTTTGTAAGCAGCAGACAGTGACCATGAAGACTCATGGGGATATGTCAGAACACTGATGACTTATGAAACAAGAGAGAGGGTATTGTGCTGAGTGATATATAGTTGAGGTTGTATTGTAAGGACCCTGGGACTAAACACCTCCCTCTGCAACTGGATCCTGGACTTCCTGACGGGCTTCCCCCAGGTGGTAAGGGTAGGTAACAACACATCTGCCACGCTGATCCTCAACACGGGGGCCCCTCACGGGTGCGTGCTCAGTCCCCTCCTGTACTCCCTGTTCACCCATGACTGCATGGCCAGGCACGACTCCAACACCACCATTAAGTTTGCCGACGACACAACAGTGGTAGGCCTGATCACCGACAACGATGAGACAGCCTATAGGGAGGAGGTCAGAGACCTGGCCATGTGGTGCCAGGATAACAACCTCTCCCTCAACGTGATCAAGACAAAGGAGATGATTGTGGACTAGGAAAAAGAAGAGGACCGAGCACGCCCCCATTCTCATCGACGGGGCTGTAGTGGAGCAGGTTGAGAGCTTCATGTTCCTTGGTGTCCACATCACCAACAAACTAACATGGTCCAAACACACCAAGACAGTCATGAAGAGGGCACGACAAAGCCTATTCCCCCTCAGGAGATTGAAAAGATTTGGCATGGGTCCTCAAAACGTTCTACAGCTGCACCATCGAGAGCATCCTGACTGGTTGCATCACAGACTTGTATGGCAACTGCTCGGCCTCCGACCGTAAGGCACTGCAGAGGGTAGTGCGTACGGCCCAGTACATTTTACATTTACATTTGAGTCATTTAGCAGACGCTCTTATCCAGAGCGACTTACATGAGCAATTAGGGTTAAGTGCCTTGCTCAAGGGCACATCGACAGATTTTTCACCTAGTCGGCTCGGGGATTAGAACCAGCGACCTTTCGGTTACTGGCACAACGCTCTTAACCACTAAGCTACCTGCCGTACATCACTGGGGCCAAGCTTCCTTCCATCCAGGACCTCTATGCCAGGCGGTGTCAGAGGAAGGCCCTAAATATTGTCAAAGACTCCAGCCACCCTGTTCTCTCTGCTACCGCACGGCAAGCGGTACCGCAGTGCCAAGTCTAGGGCCAAAAGGCTTCTTAACAGCTTCTACCCCCAAGCCATAAGACTCCTGAACAGCTAATAAAATGGCTACCCAGACTATTTGCATTGCCCACCCCCCACCCCCTCTTTTACGCTGCTGCTACTCTCTGTTTATTATCTATCCATAGTCACTTTAACTATAGCTACATGTACATATTACCTCAATTACCTTGACTAACCGGTGCCCCTGCACATTGACTCTGTACCGGTACCCCCTGTATATAGCCTCCCTACTGTTATTTTTACTGTTATTTTACTGCTTTTATTATTGACTTATCTATTGTTTACTTAACACCTATTCGTCTTAAAACTGCATTGTTGGTTAAGGGCTTGTAAGTAAGCATTTCACTGTAATGTCTACACCTGTTGTATTCGGCGCATGTGACAAATAAAATGTGATTTGATTTGTAATGGCTTTGACTAGGGGTTGTATTGTTGCATGATTGTATTGTGTAGTATTATGTAACAGATGTTGTATTGAGACAGTATATCTATGTCTGTGTCTCAGGTTATGGGTGAGTCCTCTGTATCCACGGTTACCCAAGGGGAGTCCAGAGACTGTAGGGGAGTCTCCCACCCTCTCCAAGCGGAACCAAATGATCGGCGAACACGAACTGTCTGAGACCAAGCGAGACGATGTTAATCTATGATCATGTTCAATTGGCACCAAACAGCAGAAAACATTTGAAACAGATGAGGTACTACCTTAACTCACCATAATAACTGATTTTTGTTTTAATATATAACTGCAAGGGCTGTGCTCTACCACCTAAACATTATGCCAACTGAAGTGGACCCATATGAGATGTTGACAGCTCCTCCTCTCTCTCCTCCTCCTGATAGGTGAGACTCCAGGGAGGTACCTGGGCTCAGACATGGGGAGGTGGGGTCGCCTGAGGTTGAGAAAAGTAAGAAGGAATCTCTTGCTTCCATCTAGGAGCACCAGTAAATGTTGATGGACAGCTCCAACGCTCCACTGTCCTCCATGTTTAATGAGCCACACACTGCCGGACTCTGTCTCATCTACTTGATTGCTTCTCGATTACTCAGGTAACAGGCTACGATGTTCATCACTTATTTAGTCTGAAGTACATTTTTATACCATATATCACGCCTGCTCCCGCTCCCCCTCCCTGGCGCTCGAGTGGGCCAGGCTGCCCATCATTACGCACACCTGTCCTTTCACAATGCAGATACCACTATCAGAAGCATCAGGGCGTTTTTGTTTTTCGTTTGGGTTTGTGACGTCGGGTCTGGGTGCCGCTGCCGAAGGAACCGGGGATGCCTTAGCTGGCTCGAGAGGTTTTCTTGCCTCGGTTGGCTCGGCAGGCTCCCATCCCACGTCATGCCTCAGCGGGCCCGTTAGGCTCCCATGCCTTAGCGGGCCCGTCAGGCTCCCATGCCTCAGCCGGCTCGTCAGGCTTCAACGCCTCAGCGGGCCCGTCAGGCTCCCATGCCTCAGCCGGCTCGTCAGGCTCCCTCGGCCGGCTCGACAGGTTCCCACGCCTCGACCTGCTCGTCCGGCTCCCATGCCTCGGCAGCAGGTAGCTTAGTGGTTAAGAGCATTGTGCCAGTAACCAAAAGGTTGCTGGTTCTAATCCCCGAGGCGACTAGCTGAAAAATCTGTCGATGTGCCCTTGAGCAAGGCACTTAACCCCAATTCCTCCTGTAAGTCACTCTGGATAAGAGCGTCTGCTAAATGACTAAAATGTAAAATGTTATTACATTTTTTAATACTCTAAACCAGGGTTGGATGTCTGCAGTGTGTCTGCAGGCTTTTGTTCCAGCCCAGCATTAACCCTTTACACTCATGGGAATCGTTGGGGATTAAACGCATCGTTTCAACACTTACATCACAAGAATGATAACTTTATTTTGATGCGTGTTAATTTTTTTGTGGAATTGAAAAAAGTTATAATTGAATACAGTTTAAATGTTTACAAATTAGATGCGCTGAAATGTAATCTAGAGCCAAGCCTGTAGGTTTTTAATCCGAGGGTGTCCTGCTATTGACACACTTCTTGAATTATGCAACAGAACGTGACAACAACATTAATGAGGCAGTCTAGACAGCATAGGTGAGTGCAGGTAGGCCTAGACAGAGCAACATTTTGGTGGTTGCAGTTCAACCCCTTTATGTTAATGTCTTCATATATGCAAATACACCCAGTGTTTATGCAAATTAGGCACATCATTTTCTTTATTTGAACACAAAATATATTTTAAAAAATACCTGATACCATTAGAAAATGTATATATGAGTGCATTCTAACAAAAAAAAGTGACATTTTACAATAAATTGAATCCCTGAATTCCATTCATTATTTGTCCATTCCAGTAAAACATTTACAGTGAGGGAAAAAAGTATTTGATCCCCTGCTGATTTTGTACGTTTGCCCACTGACAAAGAAATGATCAGTCTATAATTTTAATGGTAGGTTTACTTGAACAGTGAGGGACAGAATAACAACAAAAAAATCCAGAAAAACGCATGTCAAAAATGTTATAAATTGATTTGCATTTTAATGAGGGAAATAGGTATTTGACCCCCTCTCAATCAGAAAGTTTTCTGGCTCCCAGGTGTGTTTTATACAGGTAACGAGCTGAGATTAGGAGCACACTCTTAAAGGGAGTGCTCCTAATCTCAGCTTGTTACCTGTATAAAAGACACCTGTCCACAGAAGCAATCAATCAATCAGATTCCAAACTCTCCACCATGGCCAAGACCAAAGAGCTCTCCAAGGATGTCAGGGACAAGATTGTAGGCTGGAATGGGCTACAAGACCATCGCCAAGCAGTTTGGTGAGAAGGTGACAACAGTTGGTGCGATTATTCACAAATGGAAGAAACACTAAATAACTGTCAATCTCCCTCGGCCTGGGGCTCCATGCAAGATCTCACCTCGTGGAGTTGCAATGATCATGAGAACGGTGAGGAATCAGCCCAGAACTACACAGAAGGATCTTGTCAATGATCTCAAGGCAGCTGGGACCATAGTCACCAAGAAAACAATTGGTAACACACTACGCCGTGAAGGACTGAAATCCTGCAGAGCCCGCAAGGTCCCCCTGCTCAAGAAAGCACATATACAGGGCTGTCTGAAGTTTGCCAATGAACATCTGAATGATTCAGAGGAGAACTGGGTGAAAGTGTTGTTGTCAGATGAGACCAAAATCGAGCTCTTTGGCACCAACTCAACTCGCCGTGTTTGGAGGAGGAGGAATGCTGCCTATGACCCCAAGAACACCATCCCCACCGTCAAACATGGAGGTGGAAACATTATGCTTTGGGTGTGTTTTTCTGATAAGGGGACAGGACAACTTCACCGCATCAAAGGGACGATGGATGGGGCCATGTACCGTCAAATCTTGGGTGAGAACCTCCTTCCCTCAGCCAGGGCATTGAAAATGGGTCGTGGATGGGTATTCCAGCATGACAATGACCCAAAACATACGGCCAAGGCAACAAAGGAGTGGCTCAAGAAGAAGCACATTAAGGTCCTAGAGTGGCCTAGCCAGTCTCCAGACCTTAATTCCATAGAAAATCTGTGGAGATTGCTAACAAGGGTTTTGCCACCAAGTACTAAGTCATGTTTTGCAGAGGGGTCAAATACTTATTTCCCTCATTCAAATGCAAATCAATTGATAACATTTTTGACATGCGTTTTTCTGATTTTTGTTGTTGTTATTCTGTCTCTCACTGTTCAAATAAACCTACCATTAAAATTATAGACTGATCATTTCTTTGTCAGTGGGCAAACGTACAAAATCAGCAGGGGATCAAATACTTTTTTCTCTCACTGTATATCTCACTTGTCATCCCCAAAGCCAACACCTCCTTTGGCCGCCATTCCTTCCAGTTCTCTGCTGCAAATGACTGGAACGAATTGCAAAAATCTCTGAAGCTGGAGACACTTATCTCCCTCATTAACTTTAAGCATCAGTTGTCAGAGCAGCTTACCGATCACTGCACCAGCACACCCAACTACCTCATCCCCAAATTGTTATTTATTTTGCTAATTTGCACCCCAGTATCTCTATTTGCACATCATCTTCTGCACATCTATCACTCCAGTGTTAATACTAAATTGCAATTATTTTGCACCATAGCCTATTTATTGCCTTACCTCCATAACTTACTACATTTGCACACACTGTATATAGATTTTCTATTGTGTTATTGACTGTACGTTTTGTTTATTTCATATGTAACTCTGTGTTGTTGTTTTTATCGCACTGCTTTGCTTTATCTTGGCCAGGTTGCAGTTGTAAATGAGAACTTGTTCTCAACTGGCTTACCTGGTTAAATAAAGGTTAAATAAAAAATAAATAAATAAAATAAATGACTAGCTAAGTTATAAAATACGATATTACAGTTTTGGGCTTTCACAATGCAATTCAGAGAAACAGATCGTAATTTTTGTGCGCATGGAAAGGACTGGAGTCATGAGCGAATTTCCTTCACAGTAGACAAACCGGCTAATTCTGTTCAGAAAAACCCAAGGTATGCTGCCATGTAATCTTGTAACTGTACATCAAACATAGGATCATAAACGTTGACACTGTGGTGCACTCACGGGTGTTTGGCTTGCTTGTATGACATCAACGCGGTATTTATTATAATCCTCAATGTCTCATCTTTCAAAATACATAGAGACCTCTTAATTCATAGCATGTCCCTCACTCAGACAACCAAAAATGGGCAAAAGTTTGGGGAGGGAACCACTTGTTGCGCTCAAGTTCAGAACGGCTGTCGGTCAAAACCCATACAGAGCTGTGAAGCTCAGAGCCTGAGCTCTGACGTCATTTATAGCATGTTACTGTACAGCCACTGCGTTCCAATTTAGGCACTTATCAGCTCCAGAATCTGCCATTTTCAACCCGTATGCGGGTACAAGTGTAAAGGGTTAATTTCTTTCCTCTGTTCCACCCTCTCTGGCTGTTACAGGACCACACACTGCTCATCCCCAACGATGAAAAGTGGCCCGTCATTGGTCAGTATTCTAGCATCGGCTCCATGGGATTGGACAAGCCCTGGCGGGGGAGTTACAGCGCACTCTGACAACCCTGGGTAAATCATTTCTTTGCCCAGATCCCCCTACCCCATGCTTTTGGTGCATACTATAAAACACCCATACTGTTCTGGTCCCCCTCTGTGTACACTCAGTTGGTACGTTCCAAAAACACACCACTTTAGAGGATGGCAGTACAGCGCTTTAAAACCACACATGCAAATGTTAAAATCTCAGTGCAGTCGAAAAACGTGATTTTCCTGTGTTTTGTATATGTTTTCACACTATGAAGTTGGAATAATACTGTGAAAATGATGAAAATGCTCTTTTAGTGTAAGAGCTGTTTGAAAAGATGCCTGAAATATCAGCCTGTTTTGGTAGGATGGAGTTTTGGCCTGCAGGCTGTAAATTAGTCAATAGACAGGACTCCTTGAAAGAGTCCAGTACAGTCCTCCTCCAGTACATTCCTCCCCTGAAGCTGTAGGCTCTTCTGGTCTCAATTACTGATTCTCTCTCTCTCTCTCGCTCTCTCGCTCTCTCGCTCTCTCGCTCTCTCTCTCTCTCTCAAAATGTCATATTATGACTATATACAGTGTTGTAACGATGTGCAAAAAGTTACAGTCAAAAAATTTAAACATCAATTTACATATGGGTTGTATTTACAATGGTGTTTGTGCTCCACTGGTTGCCCTTTTCTTGTGGCAATAGGTCACAAATCTTACTGCTGTGATGGCACACTGTGGTATTCCACCCAATAGATATGGGAGTTTATCATGATTGGATTTGTTTTCGAATTCTTTGTGGGTCTGTGTAATCTGAGGGAAATATGTGTCTTTAATATGTTCATACATTTGGTAGGAGGTTAGGAAGTGCAGCTCAGTTTCCACCTCATTTGTGGGCAGTGTGCACATAGCCTGTCTTCTCTTGAGAGCCAGGTCTGCCTACGGCGGCCTTTCTCAATAGCAATGCTCACTGAGTCTGTACATAGTCAAAGCTTTCCTTAATTTTGGGTCAGTCACAGTGGTCAGGTATTCTGCCACTGTGTACTCTCTGTTCAGGGTCAAATAGCATTCTAGTTTGCGCTGTTTTTTTGTTAATTACTTGACACATTGGAAATAATTATATTTTTGTTTTCTCATGATTTGGTTGGGTCTAATTGTGTTGCTGTCCTGGGGCTCTGTGGGTTCTGTTTGTGTTTGTGAACAGAGCCCCAGGACCAGCTTGCTTAAGGGACTCTTCTCCAAGTTCATCTCTCTTTATTCCCCTGATTATCCAGCCCTCGGCCTGATGATGTTATCAGTATTTGTTGTGATGGTGGTTAATGTTGATGGCCTTCAGGATATTGACGGCACAGACTGTCATTAAGGGGAAGAAACTGTTGGTCTTTATTAACTCAGGGTCCCTGTTGGTTGAATTAGACCAAGGTGTGTGTGTTTGTCGGTTAGAGAGGGTGTGGGTGGGTGGGTGGGTGGATGGGTGGGTGAGTAATCGAACCCACAATTGCTGATGCTCCAGATACTCAACTAGTCTCAATAAGGCCAGTTTTATTGCTTCTTTTATCAGCACAACAGTTTTCAGCTGTGCTAACATAATTGCAAAAGGGTTTTCTAATGATCAATTAGCCTTTTTAAAATGATAAACTTGGATTAGCAAACACAACGTGCAATTAGAACACAGGACTGTCTCACGAGTGGCGCAGTGGTCTAAGGCACTGCATCGCAGTGCTAGCTGTGCCACTAGAGATCCTGGTTCGAATCCAGGCTCTGTCGTAGCCGGCTGCGACCGGGAGACCCATGGGGCGGCGCACAATTGGCCCAGCGTCGTCCAGGGTAGGGGAGGGAATGGCCGGCAGGGATTTGGCTCAGTTGGTAGAGCATGGCGTTTGCAACGCTAAGGTTGTGGGTTCGTTTCCCATGGGGGGCCAGTATAATTTTTAAAAAATAAAATAATGTATGCACTCACTAACTGTAAGTCGCTCTGGATAAGAGCGTCTGCTAAATGACTAAAATGTAAATGACTGATGGTTGCTGATAATGGGCCTCTGTACGACTATGTAGATATTCCATTAAAAATCATCAGTTTCCAGCTACAATAGCCATTTACAACATTAACAATGTCTACACTGTATTTCTGATCAATTTGATGTTATTTTAATGGACCGAAAAATTGCTTTTCTTTAGAAAACAAGGAAATGTCCTAAGTGACCCCAAACTTTTGAATGGTAGTGTTCATCAACACCACAATGTTCTATATCCCCAGGTCGCTAGTGTATGGCGCTGTATAAATTGTCACGTTCAGGTACATCATTTTTTACATCAATTTCTCTGCAGCAGTTCAATGAAACGTCTTCCTACGGATGTTAAAGAGAGGATTTGTCCCTGTGACGGTCTGGGTCCCATTTGATTTGTGACTCTGGTGGATCGTCAGTAAATGTCAGCCAAAAGTCACAGCGCCACACTGAGTCTCACCCCCCCCCTTCCCCCCCCCCGTGACTGTCAGACAGATAGACGGACGGACAGACGGAGACAGTCAGAGAGAGACTTGGGCTGCGTCCCAAATGGCACCCTATTCCCTATATATACACAACTTTTGACCAGGGTCCGTCCATAGGGCACTATATAGGGAATAGGGTGCCATTTGGGAAAACGACATTAGGCTATCCAAGACTAGATAGACGGACAGCACTTAGCTTAACCTGGGATAAGCACCTACTGTACTGTGTGTGTGTGTGTCTGGCTGAGTGTGCATTCCTGCTAGCTACCTGCCTATCAAGCTAGCGGGGTTTTCTTGAGGGCTTGAATGCAGCCCGCGATGCTTTTAGCCATTGTGGCTGGGACCACTGATTGTGGCTGTCTAAATCCCTGCTGTTGTTATTTTCAATCTTCCCTGCGATCTGCCCTGTCTGGAAGTGCGAGGAGTAACAGCGTAACCTACGTCTCTGCCATGACAATAGTACAGGAGTAACATTGAGGACAGTGGTGTCTCTCTATCACAGGTGAAGGATCTTTTTAAAATGAACAAAAATAGTTCTACAAGCAGTTGTTACAGCAACAAGAAAATAGCTTCAAGTGTTTTGTCCAAATACTGGTGGAGTCAAGTAATAAAACAATGGACGACCTGACCAGAGAGGTCCAGGACATGAAGAACAGTTTGCAGTTCTCCCAGGGTCAACTCGATGACTTTAAACAAGAGAACGGCAAGATGACGGCAATCTGTAAGTCATTGAGAGAGGATGTCAGTTCTGTATGTGAATCCATGATAACAATGATGGAGAAATCAGATTATCTCGAGGGACAAACAAGGCGGAAACAGCATGGTTGTGGACGGAATTGCAGAATGTCCACATGAGACCTGGATGGAGTCTGAGAAGAAAGTGAGGGAAATTATCTCGGAGAAACTGAAGATGGACCACAGGAAGATTGAGGTGGAGTGCGCCTACAGGACTGGAAAACCCATCACCGGCCCAGGTGACAGGCCCAGGCCAATAGTGGTCATGCTCCTGAGGTTAAGGACAATATAGCTGTTCTGGAAAGAGCCAAGAACTTGAAAGGAACGTATATCTTTCTCAACGAGGACTATCCTGAAGCTGTGCGCCAGAAGAGGAAAGAACTTATCCCAGCCATGAAAACTGCCAGGGTGCGTGGGGAAATTGAATGAGTAGGTGTGTCCTAACATTTACATTTTTACATTTTTAGTCATTTAGCAGACGCTCTTATCCAGAGCGACTTAGTTAGTGAGTGCATACATTTTTCATACTGGGTTTTGACTGGTACTGTATGCAGCCTTAGAAATAAGGTAAATTAAATCAATAACTTGCTAACATCAGATAACATTCATATACAGTGCATTCGGAAAGTATTCAGAGCCCTTGACCTTTTACACTTTTTGAATCCGATCAAACATCTCTGGCGAGACCTGAGAATAGCAGTGCAGCGACGCTCCCCATCCAACCTGACAGAGCTTGAGAGGAACTACAGAGAAGAATGGGAGAAACTCCCCAAATACAGGTGTGCCAAGCTTGTAGCGTCACACCCAAGAAGACTCGAGGCTGTAATCGCTGCCAAAGGTGCTTCAACAAAGTACTGAGTAAAAGGTCTGAATACCTATGTAAATGTGATATTTCTGTGTTATTTTTAAAAATAAATTTGCGAAAATATCTAAAAACCTGTTTTTGCTTTGTCATTATGAGGTATTGTGTGTAGATTGATGAGGAAACAAACAATGTAATCAATTTTAGAATAAGGCTGTAACGTAACAATATGTGGAAAAAGTCAAGGGGTCTGAATACTTTCTGAATGCAGTGTTTATTCAGAGCCATATCCCTGTAATGCTTAGAGAAGATCTAATTTCAAGTGTTTTTGAAGTGTTGTGGTTGCAGGTTCACCTGGCACATCTAAAGCTTTTTCTTTTGGGGTGTTGCTATTGGCCACCAAGTGCTAACAGTCAGTATCTAAATAATATGTATGAAATGCTTGATAGTTTATGTGATGTACACAGAGAGATCTACTTTCTTGGGGACCTGAATATTGACTGGTTTTCATCAAGCTGTCCGCTCAAGAGGAATCTCAATTTGCACCCCAGTATCTCTATTTGCACATCATCTTCTGCACATCTATCACTCCAGTGTTAATACTAAATTGTAATTATTTTGCACTATGGCCTATTTATTACCTTACCTCCATAACTTACTACATTTGCACACACTGTATATATATTTTCTATTGTGTTATTGACTGTATGTTGTTGTTTATCCCATGTGTAACTCTGTGTTGTTGTTGTTTTTATCGCACTGCTTTGCTTTATCTTGGCCAGGTCGCAGTTGTAAATGAGAACTTGTTCTCAACTGGCCTACCTGGTTAAATAAAGGTGAAATAAAAAAATACCTTTAATTTGAGCCTAGAGGAAAGTCCTCAGGCCTGGAGGGAAGCCAAAGTCATTCCGCTACCCAAGAGTGGTAAAGTGGCCTTTACTGGTTCTAACAGCAGACCTATCAGCTTGCTGCCAGCTCTTAGCAAACTGTTCAAAAAAATGTGTTTGGCCAAATACAATGCTATTTCT